CTCCCTCCCTCCCTCCCTCATTCTTCTCCTCTTTGCCCCTCACTCAATGGCACCACTCAGAGACTGGAGACCGAGCTGGAAGGAGAACGTTGCTCATTTACTCCGCACAACCTCAGCGCATAGCCTCTCCCGGTTCCCCTGTTTCTATTGCTGAGGCCTCTTCACTCTGCTCCTGCCTCTCAGTTCTCACTGCTACAGTGCGTGGATCATCAGCTTTCAGGTGGCCGCAGAGCCACGCCCCAGGCCTCCCTCTGTAGCCTTCCTGCCAAGCGCCCTGCGTTAGAGCTTAGCCAACCAATTGCTCCCTGCACAAGGAAAAACCTGGCACACTGTTATACAAAAAGCTAGCAGCTTTTCTTGAGGATTATAGGAACCATATTTTGATGTATGCAGTTTAGTCTTTATGTCATCATTAACCACTTATAGTCTAAATACATCCACGTGACATTTTCATGTTCCAAGGTAAGTGACTAAATGTGAGCAAAAGATGATAATTTTGATCAAGGATAAGCACTTGTGATTCCTAGATGTCTTTCTGAATGAACACGTTGCATATTAAAGTATAACACAATTCTATCAGAATTCTTAAAAATTCCTACAAATTCATTTATTGCTAAAAGATTAAAACAGGTAAGCATCTTCCTGTGTAGTGCGGACAGCCTGTCCATAGGTAACTGTGGATGAATTCTTTGACATCCAGTGAGAATCAGAATCTGTCTCTTGACTCTCCTCTCCTCACCTGAAGACAAAAAACAAGAGTGAAAGCAGCCCCGGCCTCTGTGAGCTCTGCTGTGGGGAGCAAGGCGCTGGGGCGGGCACGCTTCCCTGGTGCTCGGCGTGCGGAGAACACGGGCCAGCACGGGACTCTGCTCCAGCCGCCCAAGGAAGTCTGGGCACGAGTCGGGACCACGAGATCAGTTGCAGAGCAGACCCGGGTATGAAGGACAGCTGGGGAACAGAGTCAATAATATCATCATCACTATGCATGGGGCCAGGTGGGCCCCGGAAATACGGGGACCACTCTGAAGAGCACATGGTTGTCTAACCACCAGGCGGTGCACCTCGCACTGATATAGGATAATGTTGAACGTCAACTGTAAGGAAGAACACAGAGGCTTTGTCCACTGGCCATGAGCAGGCACTTCAAGGGCATTCTCATGCCACCCTGGCCCTCCTCCGGTGCAGCGACCTCCGAGGGCGCAGTTACCATAGATGCCCCAGGGTTACCCCACCCGTAGCCTTTGATGCTGTTCTGTCAACCACATTGAGAAATTTATGACAACGTGGAGCTC